ACCTTTCTCCTCCAGATCACTAGGTACAGGGTAGTGTAGCTTAGATCAGGTTATCTTGAGCTGATGGGCAATGGGTGTGAAATAAATGCGCTGTGTCAGCTCTAACATCTCTCTGCCAAAAGAATCACGACTCGAACTGGAACTTTGATGGTCACTGTGACAGTGGAGTAGCATGGCTGAGTGCAGTGTGCTGCTGGGCAATTTTCCTGTTGTGAAGTCAATAACATGCCCCTTCGTGGTCAACAGGGAGAGCAGTGGTAAAAATCACAGGTAGGTGAAGGCAGTCTCCTCGCTAGTGAAAGGGAGGGGGATACAGCCACTGCGTCAGCTGCAGCTCGCCGTGCTGTCAGCACACGTGTTGTCTGTCCGGTCCCTGGATACACGCTGGTCAGCAGTGCCACAAAGACCGCTTCAGGGAGCTGGGAGGCACCTTGGGATAAGCGTGAGGAGATGGATCTCCATTTCTTCTCTTGCTTGTGGACTGGCTTGCTTCATAGTCACTCTTTTTGTCTGAGGTTTTTTTGGCGGTGGTTTTGAGGATTTTGAAGTTTTGCGTTGATTTTGGCAGGATGGAGATTTTTTCTCTATGTGCTAGTAAAAATAAATGTGAAGTTGTAACTGGTGATTTGGGAGCTTAGTTTCTATGTTTAGTGGGATCTAATCTTCTGATTCTTCTTTGTTTTGTAACACATAGCCTAAACAATCAAATCCGTCCTGCGTTCCACTTGGTTGTGCACCACTTAACTGCTTGGTACAAGGAGAATATATCCTAATTTCGTTGAATTGTTGCTACTTCTATGCCATTTCAAGCAGCAGTGATTGCCACTCATTATCGTTAGGCTAAAACGATTGCCGTAGAAGGATCCTAATAAAGAGGACGTCCCAATTAAGTAGTATATGTTGTGCTAAGAAACTCTTTACAAGTAAAGATGTCACAGCCGTGTGTTGTAATGTAATTCTATTATCTCGTCTTCCTATAACATCTGCTCTAATATCTCACTGAGGTACTCTCTGCTTTGGATGATGATCATCTGTTCTGGCTTTTGATGAAATCAGATCCAGCTCAGCTGGGATGCTGCCCTGAAAATGATCACGCGTCTTTGGAAAAAACTGCTCTGTGGATACGCAGTTACTAAAATTTCCAACTGCAAGGAGCCAGAGACAAAACTGTTCAGACAAAACCTCCGAACTTGGCCAGAAGAAATAAAAAAAGTTACCCATGCGTGCAGCTCAGGGGATTGTTCTTCGCAGTGGTTCTGGAAGTGAAGTTCCTACTGATGGGAACCCAAAATCTGCGGAGTTTGTACAACTTCTGTTTGTCATTTATCGGTGGTTGCTGCTGTTGATCATTTTTTGGCAGATTTTGTTAGGCTCTCAGTTCTTTCACTTTTAAGCATTATTCATTTGCTGCTCTTCTCATTTTTCCAGGAGAGAAAGGGTGATCTCTTGTGGTTAAACTGCATAACTAGAGGCCTTATGCTCTTTTCCTGGTTTTCTCTGACATTTCTTACGTCACCTTGCATTAGTTACTAAGCTCTCTGGTGCTTTACTTTCGCTTCTTTACTTAATTTCTATGAATTCAATGTGAATATTATCTTACCAGCTTAACGCCAGTGTCTCGAGGCTAAGTGGAAAGCTGGTAATGCTTGCTAATGTCTTTGGGTAGTGGGTGTTAAAGACACACAAGGTAGTGTCCCTTTTGCCTCCCGTATCTGATTCCTGTGCCTGTTTCACCCTTCCTGGTTTGGGCTGCTCTGCCTACTCGGCGGCTCAGATTCTGGAAACTTTATCTCACCACCCAGCTTTCCCAAGCGCTTCGCATTTTCTCCATGTGAAGCCACTCCCTGTTATTTAACCGGGCTGGAATGTGTGGAAAGAAGACAGTTTGCACTCCTTGCCTTGAATGCTTTCCAGGTCTTCTGTTCACTGAAAGCACTGGCTGATACGATTAGCATTAAGGTTTTCCCCGTAGTCTCGTTTCTGTGAGGAGAAGTCAAGATGTTTTCCATCTGCCTTGCCGGTCAGGTTGATGGGCTGAGCTGAAGAGTCACGGTGCAGGTTGCTTCAAACAACAGAGACCATAGTGTTTCATGCCAAGTTTGAGTTTCTGCGTGGTGTTCTTCACCAGTTCCTGCGTGTTGGTGTTGGGATGCTGAGCTCCTGGTGCTTGTATTCCCACGCCGTGCTTCAAAACCTGGTGCGTACCTGGATGGTGCGTCATCCTCACATGCTCAGGGTAGCCACCGTTGCCAAATGTGGGGTCAGGAGAGTTTGTCTGCATGTTGGAATACCAACCGTGTGGGGTTTGCACCCAGTGAAGTGTATTGCCATTGCAAAGGCAGCTGGCAATACTTTTGTTCCTTTTACTTCTTCTCCGCAGGCCTTTATCTTGTAGATCTCAAGAATGCTCTCTGGTGCTGGGAAATATTTTGGTGCATGAGCTTGTGGAAGAAAAGGGATTTTTTTTTTATTATTATTATTGGTTGTTTTGCGAGTTCTTCATATGTTTCTTTATGAGAGCAGGAGACTGACTCCAAGACCTTCTAGTCCCATGTTCCTGTGTAAAAAAAAGTCAAAAAATTATGATGATTGAGTGGATTTCCTACTCCTAAACGTAGTCCTCCTAGGTAAGGTCAGCATTTACTTGAGCCACACAATGTGCAACACCACGCTTTGGGGACTGTTCAGGGTTAACTACCATTTTCAGGCTCATTTTGTGCAGCAGTTTGCCCAGTATCTGTCCTGCACACTTAATTTCTATAAACTCTTAGTAGAATTCACCTATTCCTTGCAGTGGGAGTCTAAGCTGTTTTCCAGATATGTACATTTGCTTAAGATGTAATAGATAGATAAAGAGGGAGGTCAAAGATACTTTGAATTATTTTCTCTTGAAAGTAGGAGCACTTAATTATGGAAAAATAACAAAGGAGCAGCAAAACCTTCATGCTTCTGTGCAGGGTCTAAATTAATATATGTAGAGAAATCTGGCACTCTTTCCACAGGAACAAATAGTGAAATATGCAAAAAATGTTTTACAGTCTTTACAGTGCTTACATTTTTAGTCAAAACAAATACATTTGTGTTGGGTTTCTGCTAGATGCCTCAGCATGGGTCATTTGAATCACATTGTCCAGTGGGCATTTTTATTAATTTGATGTCACTGGAAATTTGTTTTGGTTTAGACCATGGGATTGGAATACTAAAGGAGAGGGAGGAGGTAAAGAATTCAAAACATGGATGACATTAGGTATTGCAGACGCATGATGTTGGCAGTGCAGACTTCTTGCTTGCCTTGGTCTGTCACTTTGTATACAGATATATATATATATAAACTGAATTAAGTGATAGTTGAGGTATGATTTGGTCTGGGTGAACTTGCTGTGTGCTCAAACAATAGCTTAACTACATGTCTTCACTCATTGAAATACAAATAAAAGGAGGTGTACGGTACTGAAGCATGTTTACAGTAGGTGAGAAGAGGAAGGCTGGAACAGTAACTTGAGAGCTGCAGTAACTGCAACTGCATGTTTACATTCTCTCATTCTCCTTTCTTCCTGACGTGGACTTGCTGTTGAGAATGCTGCTGTAAGTGGCAAAGCTGGTTTTGGACCAAACTACGGGATGTTTGAGGATGCAGCACAGCCTTGCGCAGAAACGTACTGCCCATTCCGATGAAAAGACACTCTGTTTCATTGCTTTCCACATTGTGTAGTCATTCGTGGTGGTATACAAAAGATCACTTGTCTTATTTTTTTGCTGTTTTGCTCTTTGATCTGCCTTTGCATGATGCAAATAGCTGTGCGGTGCCAACAGCCCATGGCCCATGGCAAGCCAGCAGCCTCCTACGCCTGAGAGAAAGTGATGTCCAACTGCTGGTCCTGGAGTATGGGCACCGCAGGACCAGCGCTTCAGCAATCCAGTGTTTTGCAACAGCTGATCTATAAGTAAGTGCAGCTGTCTGTCTAAATAGAGGAAAAGTGGAGGAGGCTTAGGGGTTTTTTTATTCCTCTGTATTTAGGTGAGATTTGGGCTACAAACCCCATATTTCTCGTGCCCTGAAAGCCGAAGAGGTCACACAACTGCTGCTGCACCCAGTGTTGGAGTCGCTCTTGGCCATGAGGTCCTCCAGGCTGTTTTGCTGGGGAGGCACTGAGTAGCAGGGACAAGTTCTGCCAGGGCTGCTGCAGGCACTGAGTTTGGGATGTTTGTGTGATGCACGCACACTTCTTCTGTCATGCTAGAGGGACAGCACAGGCGGCTCTGTGGCCAGCTCTGAAATGAGCGTGCAGGAATGTATGTATATTTGTGCCAAAATCTGCCTTGTAACGGAGGGCTGTGCATCAACCAAGCGCAAGAGGGGGGAGCGTCCATGGGGAAACTGGTACAGAGTTACCAGGTACCCTTGGCTTCGCATGAGTTTGCATGAACTTTTGAAGTAACTGCTTCTTTTATCTTCAGTCTTCACTGTGTCATTTAGTGCAATAGTTCTCTGGTTTTGGATTTTGAAGTCCTTGGGTATTGAGGTCTGGCTTGTGTTTAAGCTGAGCCCAAAGGGCAGGAAAAATGTGGAGTGTATTAATTATACATCGGATTTTCCCTATGATATGGTTTTTTCTCTAGATATTTGGGAGGGGAAGCATTAGGATCCTGTCACTGTGACTGGGGTTTTTTTTTATGTCATCCTGCTGGTTTTAAAATGTATTCTCTGCGTTTCTCTTCAGTCTTTCACCTGCATACTGCGGGGTACCCTGAGGCCAAGGGCAAAGTGAATAAAGCAGTTTTGAGTATGACCCATTCTGGATCTGTCTCTTTTCAGACAAGTCCTGGACAGATCCCTGCCCCAAGAAGGGTACAGATGAGGGGAAGCACCAAAAGAGGTGGCAAAATCCAAATACACGTGAGCACTTTGGTTGTCTCGCCTTGCTCCAGTGGTTCACAGCAGTCATAGATGCAACGTATGGTTGCTGTTTGTTGCTGGGTGGCACAGAGCAACCAGGGGCATGTCGAGTGAGTCTGGACCTATATTCATCAGGCAACAACTGACTGCTTAATTTCCACTCCAGTGAATCAGAGGAAAGAAGAGGGATATAATAATGGGCAAAGTGCACAGCGTTGAGTAGCCATGCAGAAGGGCAAGACATTGAACAGTGCCGGTTGACAGAAAAGACAGATACTGCTGTTCATTTCTGAAGATACTGCACAGAAATCTTTGGTATGGAATGACAGACAGCATCAGCAGCGACAGCCAGAAAAGCAAGGGGAAAAAAAGTCCTGTTTTTCAGGCCACTGGCAACTTGAGGTCACAGAATCACAGAATGTTAGGGGTTGGAAGGGACCTCTATGGGTCGTCTATTCCAACCCCCCTGCAAAAGCAGGATCATCTAGAGCAGGCTGCATAGGACCTTGTCCAGGCGGGTCTTGAATATCTCCAGAGAAGGAGACTCCACAACCTCCCTGGACAGCCTGTTCCAGTGCTCCGTCACCCTCAGAGGGAAGAAGTTCTTCCTCATGTTCAGACGGAACTTCCTGTGC